CCGCACCCGGCCCAAGGTCACCGGGGCGGGCGGGGCTGTGTTCCTAGTGCACGCGGCGGATTCTGTTGGTCCCTTCCCTCGGAGCAGGGAAACGTGTGCCACCTCTGCTCCCCCGAAACGAAAGAGAGGGACTTGCACACGAGATCCCATTGCACGTAGATCCATGTTGCTCGGCTCTTCTCCTCTCTCCTTTTCCTGAGCAATCGGAATTCTATTCAGTGTGCAGAATAGTGACTTCGGTGTCGTTCGTTCTGCCGCCGGGGAAGCGCCTTTCCGAGTTAACGCAGGCGGTGCGTGGGTCCCACGCGTGTCTGCCTAGGAAGCTGGTCTTTCCACGGCCCTGTGCGCTTTGGGTCCTGCTCTGTTTCACCTTTGATTCCGTGTTGGTGTTTACAGACTGTCTTGGATGTAGAGTTTCTTCCTGAGGCTACGTTCTGACCCCTCCCTCCTCACTGACGTTTGGTTGATGGTTTTCTTTTTGCGGTTAGAATTGGCAGTGAGTGACCATAGTTGAGGACACATACTAGCGACAACAGCGGAGTTCTCTCGAGGGGCTCACATTTGTAGTTGACGCTCTGAGACTAGGTCGCCTTCTTTGGGTCCTTTGGCCACCCTGTTGCCCCGCCCCGCCCGCTGTGTGTGCAGCGCTGTCCGGACACCCTGGGGAGCTAGAGCTGAGGATCTGACTGTGCTTTAGTGGGTTCTCTCTGGTCAAGACCTAGCAGTGAGGGGAAGGGAGAGGGCGACGGGGGTGTGGATAGAGGATGTGGCTGTGAAGGCATCCGGGTGTGGGCCAGTGGAGCTGAGGCTTATGTGACGTCCTTAACGTGATAAAAAGTTATGACTGAGGTCCTGGATTCACAGAGGCCGAGACCAGGGCTGGTGGGGTGGGGTGGCGGGGAGCTGCTTCCTGGGGACGGTTTCAGATGTGCAAGATGAAAGAGTTCTGGAAGTAGGCTGTGCTGGTGGTTGTATCATACTGTGGATGCATTTAATAATATCTTGCGGTCTACATCGAAGTTAGTCACGGTAACTGGACGTGGTGGCACACACCTGTAATCCCAGCAGGTGGGGAGGCTGAGACAGGAGGATCACAAGTTTGGGCCCAGCCTCTGATGCATAGTGAGACGCTGTCTCAAAAGTCAAAACAAAACAAAAGTGGTTATGGTGGTGAATTGTATGTGCTTTGTATTTTCACAATACCAAAACTTGGAAAATGTAAAAGTAAAGGTGGTGAGAAAAAACAATAAAAAAAAAAAAGAAAAGAAAGAAAAACCTGACAGTGTAAATTGCCTGTAGAGAAGGAAGGTGGGTTAACTGGAAGGAAGATTTTGAGATTTAGCATTTTAATCTATATAAGTATATTTCTACAAAATAAATGCCTGAATGTATCGTACAACACAGTAAATGTAGTTAATAATATATTCTTTTTTTGGGGGGTGAGACAGGGTCTCACTATGTAGTGAGACGGACCTGGAACTCACTATGTAGCCCAGGCTGGTCTCAAACTCACAGCGATCCTCCTGCCTCAGCCTCCCGAGTGCTGGGATGACAGGAGTGCAGCACCACATCCGACTAATAATATATTCTTAAAAATCACTGAGAATAGCCTCACAGTACTGGGATTGAGCCCAGGGCCTTCATACAGAGTTACATCCCCAGCCCTTTTTATTTTTCACTTTGAGTCAGAGTCTTGCTAAGTTGCCCAGGTTGGGGTTGAAGTTGTGATCCTCCTGCCTCAGCCTCGCAGAGGGCTGAGATAATAGGTGTGCTCCACAACACCTGGCCCAGAGGTTTTAGTGTTCTCACCACAAAAATAAGTACTGTGCTACATAATGAATAGATTAGCTCACTTTCCACAGTGTCTGTGTATTTCAAACTATGTTGTAGAGATAAATGTATAGTTTTTGTTAATGAAAAATATATCCAATACAGACTCAGTGAGGTGGCGAATGCCTGTAATCCCAGGACTGAGGAGGCTGAGGCAGGAGGAACACTGTGAGCTTGAGGTCAGCTTGGACTGCTTAATGGGTTCAAAGCCAGTCTGAACTACCTATCGAGACCCTGTTAGTATATAAAAAATAAGACTGTTAACAGAGAGTGTTTGCAACTCCTGTAATACAGTTGTGGAATAATGAGCTGTGGTTGGTCGGCCTAGGGCATAGAGCAGCAGCCCTGACGGTGACTGACTTGGCTGTGGTGCAGGCCCTCACCAGGTCCTCACCAGTTCCCAGCACTGTGGCCCACCCTCCAGCTTCAGGCAGAGCCCTGAGGTGGAGGCCATGATGTCCTGAGCTTGGCCTTGCTTAGGGCCACCTTGTGGCTGCTCCATGGTCCTCCGGAGCCTTGTGCAGAGCTGTGCTCACCCTGTGTCACTCAGTTTGTGCAGTTTTCTCCCAAGCAAACTATGGCTCCTGGGCTAAGCCTGGCCCTCAACTTGTTGTAGTAAATAAAGTTTTATTGGCACACAGCTGTGTCCATTTGTTTATTTACTATGTGGTCCTTTACTGAAAACTTTTCGTTGATCCTGGACACTTCACTTTATTTTTTAAATTTTAATTTCTCTTTGGTTTTTGAGCCGGGTCTCACTATGCAGTTCAGGCTGGCCTTGAACTCTGGACACCTCACTTTAAAACAAAACCAACAGCAAATAGCTATCCAGAACTATAGCAGCTCCGTGGAGTAGAACTTCCTGTGGTGATGGGAGTGAGCCATCCTATGCTCTCCACTAACATAGCCTTGACCACATAAACATAATTCATTTAAATTAAAAATGACTCTCGAGCCGGGTGCTTGTCACCCCAGCACTCACTGTGTAGCCCAGAGTGGCTGCAGATTCATGGTGACCCTCCTGCCTCAGCCTTGCGCACCGCCATACCCAGCATGAATTTGTGTGGTTTTACCATTCCGTCTGTGGCCCTTAGTTACAATAGCTGTAGGAACAGTCACTTGTACGTTTATAAAGTTAGGGTTGTGGCAGCTTCCTGCAGGGGAGACTCCTAGGCCGAGGCCTCTGCAGAGGTCATGACCAGGCCTCCCAGTCCCAGCGGTGTGACCTGACTTCTCCATCTTCTGGTCGGGGCACGGGTGCTCCAAGGTTGCACAGGGTGGGGGGCACACAGGCAGAGTGGACAGAACTGACAGAGCTTTTTCACCGCCAGGGATCATGTCACCGGCGGCACTTGTCCCAGCAAGGCCACCATACCCGGGAAGACCATCATTGTGACAGGCGCTAACACGGGTATTGGAAAGCAGACCGCCTTGGAACTGGCCAGAAGAGGTAAGGCCTTGTGTCGGGAAGAGTTACTTGTGCATGGTGTTGGTAGCAGTGGCGATGGATCACAGTGGCCCAGAGGGCCAGAGTATGTGTCCATCCAAAGGGAGCAGCAAGATGCCGCCTGCCACAGAGTGGAATATTACTCAGCCCTGTAAAGGAAGGGCATTCTGACCATGATGGACCCAAGGCTGTGAGGCTCAGTGAGACAGCTGCACACACAAGGGTGATTCCACTTCCACTGAGATATGGCCTGTGGAGGTTGGGTGCTGAGAGATAGGAAGTGGAGTGGTGGGCTTCTTCCTTCCTCCCTTCCTCCCTCCCTCCCTGCTTTCTTTCTTTCTTGGTATGTAGCTCAGGCTGTGCTGGGATTACAGGCATGGGGCACCACTCCTGGTTTAGATTTTTCTTTTTTTTTTTTTGAGACAGGTTCTCACTATGTAGTTTAGGCTGGCCTCAAACTGATGGTGATCCTCCTGCCTCAGCCTCCCAAGTACTGGGACTACAGGAGTGCGCCACTATGCACCGCTTCTGAGCATGTTTGAGTAGAGGAGGCTAAGCTAGGATGCTTGGTAGGTGTACTCAGTGTGTTTTCAGTTTAGACATTTTCAGTTTCTCACCCATGGTGAGCTTCTGGTCCACAGCCACACCCAGCCACTTCTGTGACCTCCTTCCCATGATGCAGGCGTCACGCAGCCAATCTTAGAACATTTTTATCCCCCAGAGGGAGCTGTTGGGCTACACAAGGAAACTGGTGCCCTGCCCGCCGTCTGCCTGGCCCACGCGGACTCCCGCATGGTGGCTGCTGAGTCCCCCGGTCGCAGTATCCAGGACTGTGGCACGTCGGCCTCAGTGCCTGTCGTGTGGGGATCCAGTTGGGATGGACCGTGGCGTGGAGCTTCGTGTGGACGGAGTTTCCGTTTCTTGTTCCCGGCTGGGCCTGCAGGAGGCCGCGTCATCCTGGCCTGCCGCGACCTGGAGAAGTGTGAGGCGGCAGCCAAGGAAATCCGCGGGGAGACCCTCAACCACCGCGTGGACGCGCGCCGCCTGGACCTGGCTTCCCTCAGGTCCGTGCGGGAGTTCGCCGCCAGGATCATCGAAGGTAGGAGGGGCGCGGCCCTGCAGGTGAGGCTGGAGATAGCAAGTTCTCGGGGTGCCCCTGCTGCCTGGCTCTCAAAATTCAATTCATATTTTTTTAGCAGTGTGGATGGAACCCTGGGCCTTTACACTGAGATTTACTCCCAGACTTGATTTATTTCTTTCATTTATTCGTTTGTTTGTTTGTTTATTTGATTTTTTGAGACAGGGTCTCACTTTATAGTACAGGCCAGCTTTGAACTCACTGTGTAGCCCAGGCTGGCCTGGAACTCGCAGCGATCCTCCTGCCTCAGCTCCCAAATGCTGGGACTACAGGCGTGCGTACCCGGCTTCCATTTTCATTTCTCATGGTGAGGCAGGATCTCGCTAAGTTACTGAGTTGCCCGGGCTTGGCTTGAACTCGAGGTCCTTCTGCCTCAGCCTCCTGAGTCCTGGGATCACAGGCTGGCTGTGCTGCACTGGGCCCCTTCCTAATGTGTTTATGCATATATTTATGTATTTTTATACAGATCCGGACCATACTCTGTGCTTTTCTGTTTTTACACATCTTTAAATGGACTTGAGAACATAATTTTAAAATGTGTTTATTTTTATTTATTTTATTTATTTGTTTACTTTCGGTTTTTGAGACAGGGTCTCACTATGTAGTTGAGACTGACCTGGAACTCACTATGTAGCCCAGGCTGGTCTCTGACTCACAGTGATCCTCCTGCCTCAGCCTCCGGAGTGCTGGGATTAAGTTGTGCGCCACCACGCCTGGCAGGGATGATTTCATTCTTTACCTCCTTTTCTCTGTCTGTGTGTCTGTCTCTCGACAGGCATCTGGGCTGTTGTGAGCTGTGCTGCTGTAAACACGGCTGTGCATGGGTCTCTGTCAGACGCTGTCCTCAACTCCTCCGGGAGCCACCTGAAGGGGCCTGCTGGGTCCTGGGGAGTTCCTAGTTTGTGCTTCCTGAGGAATCTCCACACCAATTCCCACAGGGGCTGGACCCATTCACCGCCCACCAGTGTAGGGAGGGGGAAACCATTCTTGACCCTCTCTGTCCTGTCTGCTTTCTGAACTGGTCCTGGATGGGTTTGGCAAACTGCTTGTCCCGAGGGCTGTGCCCTGCTCATAAAACAGCCCCGAGTTAAAGACTGAGTGAGAAGAAAGCCGCAGAGTCAGGTTTATCCAGAGTGTGGTGGCGTACACCTGACATCCATCACTAGGGAGGCTGGGGCAGGAGAGTGCCCATGGGTTCAGGGCCAGCCTGGGCTACATAGTGAGACCAGTTTCAAAAATCCAGAAATAACAATAACAATAGTACTGCTTATGTCTCCTCGCTGAGCCACCATGTGCTCTTCTAGAAATGGGTTAGTGGTTTTTTTTTTGTTTGTTTGTTTTTGGTACAGGGGATTGAACTCAGAACCTTGCACTGGGCCGTGCCAGAGCCTGGCCATCTTGTCCTCCCTGTCTTTCCAGCACCCAGAAACTGGGCTGAGGAAACACTTGCTGAAGGAATGATGATTATACGTTTCTGCTGGGCAGGCACTATTGTCCTTTAACGCGGGGAAACGGAGTCACCGAGACGCTCTGTGACGGCTGGGGCACCAGGTGGGGTGGGGCCTGCCCGGCTGGAGCTCCTGTCCTGGTGCTGGCTCAGCCTCCTGCAGGCGCTCGTGCCCTGGTGGGTACTCCTGCATCGGCTCCACTGCGAGGGTGATACAGGCTCAGGAGTCTCTGCCCAGTCTCTGTCTCTAGGCCTGGGGGCTCGTTGGACACGGGGCCTGTGTCCTCCCAGAAGGGAGGTTGGGATTCAGAGATACCCAGAGGAAGGAGATGTGACGAGACAGAAGAAGGTGGCATCTGTGCCAAGGGGACAGCTGGGACTGGAGGAGGAGCCGGCCTGAGCCAGGCCTTGGTATCGGCCTGGAGTGGCAGGCTGTGAACTGTGTGGTCTCAGCCACCCTGGGTGTACGTCTGTGCTGGGACAGCTGCTGCAGGCAGGGGGCGCTGTCGCCCATCTAGCTGAGCCCTCTGGTTGCCTCCTAGGGCCTTGGTCCTGTGCACCTGAGGTGTTGGAACCAGGCCTGAGTTGGCCATGGCCTGCAACACCTGGGCTCCTAGGAGCACCCCGCTTGGCCTCAGGAGGACTAGGGTCAGAGTGTGTCTGTCCCAGGGCTGCCACGACCCAGGGCCACCACCCAGGTAGCTTAGAACCTAAGGGTCCCATCCTTGTGGCATACATCATAAAGGCCCTGCTTTTCGTTGATTTTTTTTTTTTTTTTTTTTGCCCCAGGGATCAAACTTGGATCCTTGTGCTTATGAGGCAGGCGGTGGCATCACTGAGCTAAATCCCTGGCCCTTGATTTTTTAAGGGTACTGGGGATGACCCAGGGCCTTAACACTGAGCTTCCTTTTAAGAAAAATTTTTAGAGAGGATCTCACTAAGTCACTAAGCTTCCTGGGCTGTGCTCCAACCTGCGATCCTCCTGCCTCAGCCTCCCAGAGAGCTGAGCCCCAGGCCTGTCAAGGGAGGCCACCTTGCAGGCCCCAGGTGCGGGGGTGCTGCCTGCCACCCTGTGGGGCTCAAGTCCGGGCTCAGCCCCATCCTCTGTGTTGCAGAGGAGGAGCGCGTGGACGTTCTCATCAACAACGCGGCCGTGATGCGCTGCCCTCACTGGACCACTGAGGATGGCTTCGAGATGCAGCTGGGAGTCAACCACCTGGGTGAGGCTGGCATGGGCAGTGCTAAGGGTGGGTTCTGGGGGCGTCCCTGCCCTGAGGGTCCTGCTCCACGCTCTGGCTGTTCATTGCTTGGACATTCGGTCGGTCACTCCTGCCCTGCGTCAGCCACTCAGCCAGAGACCCACGCGATGCTGCCTTGAACTCACTATTATAGCCCAGGCTGGCCTTGAACTCATGGCAGTCCTCCTGCCTCAGCTGCCTGAGTGCTGAGATTATAGGCTTGTGCCACCACACCTGACTTGGTTAGGTACCCTTTTTGTAAAGGGTTTAAAGCTCCGTCTGATGACATCTTTTAACCTGATTACATTTGTCCCACTGTCCGATTAGAGTTTAGAATTCCTACATTTCCTTCTTTTTTTTCCTGTAGGCAGTGTAGCTAATCCAGGAGACACATTATTCACATCTGTTCACTGCATTCAACCACATGATCTCAGGTCACTGCAGGGGAGTCTGGGAAATGTAGTTATTCATTCACTGCGCATGGCTGAAAATTCTATTGGCTGAAAAGATATGAAGAAAGGATTTTGGGAGACAGGGCTGTCTCTTCCCCAAATGGCCTCACGGGGTTACTGTATGACTTGACAGTCTTTGTGGGGTCTTTTGACAGTCTTGGGCCTTGTAGGGTATTTAGCAGTACCCATGGCCTCTACCCATCAGATACCAATAGTGAATTCTTATTTCTAACCCAGATACCAGTAGATTTTTTTGTTTGAGACTGGGTCTCACTGTGTAGTTCAGGCTAGCCTCAAACTCGAAGCGGTCCTCCTGCCTCAGTCCCCTGAGTGCTAGGATTACAACCAGTAGATTTGAAATGTTCTCACTACTTATTCTTTTTGTTGTGATAACTCATAAAGTCACCAGACATTGCCAAATGTCTCCTGGAGAGTAGAACTGCCTATAGTTGAGAATTGTGCATTGTTGAGAGTGTAGTATTCTTACAGTCCTAAGCATGTAGTTAATGCCCAGTAAAAGTTATTTTGATCCCACAGCCCCATTGTTGGGTACCATGTAGACCAGGCTGGCCTTGAATGAACTTGCAATCCGCCTGCCTTAGCCTCCTGCCGGTGGATCACCATGCCTCATTTAGTATGTATATATGTTAATTAACTTGATTTAGGCATTCTCCAGTGTATATATCTATCAGAATATTGTGCTGTATTCATGCCTCTTTTTTTTTTTTGGTACCGGGGATCGAACTCCGGTCCTTGCGCTTGCAAGGCAGGCGGCAGAACCACTGAGCTAAATCCCTGGCCCTGTGCTGTATTCTATAAATACACAATTTTTATTTCTCAATTTAAAAATTGATTAATTTAAATTAGCCAGGGCTGGGGCTTTAGATTGGTGGTGCCGTGTCTGCCTGGCAAGTGCAAGGTCCTGAGTTCGATTCCCGGTATGAAAAAAAGAAACATCAACCAAATTAAAACCATAATGAGATGCCATTTCACCTCCACTGGAATGGCTAGGAAGATTAAAGAAAAATTGGCAAGAGTGTAGAGGAACAGGAGGCTCCTGTTACTCACGGGAGTGAAAGAGAAAGTCAAACAACCATTCGAAGACAGATGTAAATAAAGGTTCTTGTTGCTGTCCTCCATCCAGGTCATTTTCTTCTGACAAACTTGCTGCTGGACAAGCTGAAAGCCTCAGCCCCTTCTCGGATCGTCAACCTCTCGTCCCTGGCCCATGTTGCTGGGCACATAGACTTCGATGACTTGAACTGGCAGAAGAGGAAGTACAACACCAAGGCCGCCTACTGTCAGAGCAAGCTGGCCGTTGTCCTCTTCACCAAGGAGCTGAGCCGGCGGTTGCAAGGTGCATGAGGGGTGAGCCTCGCTGGTCTCCCTCTTCCCTCCCCTCTGAGCCTCTAACGGCCCTTTTGTGTTCCTGGGCATTGCAAGGCAAGCACATTGGCTCTGGGCAGAGTAGATCGAAGGATGGCACTCGTACCACTGCTCTCCCTTCTGATGCCTGAGGCAGGCATCACTGATCAGTTACTGCTCTAATGTTGCTCTTCAGGCCTTCAGCCGGCAGCTTTCTCTGCTTTTCCTGGACGGGCACCTAAGCCTATGGTGCTCTTAGCTGGTAGTTCTCAACTGGGAGTGATTTCGGCCCCTAGCAGGCAAAGATCAATGCCTGCAAATGTGGTTGCCACAGCTGGGTGGGCAGAGTTGCTCCTGGTTTCCAGTGGGTGAATCCACGGACACCGCTCAGCATCTCCCTGTGCACTGAATGCCCCAGCTCCCTGACCAGAAGTCATAGGGCTGAGGAGGAGAGAGCTGCTCTGGGCCACGGTGTCTCAGGTGGCCTGTGGGTCCCAGGGAGTGCTCAGCTGAGGGCTGGTCACAGTTGCTCATCTCAGACTCCACCCTGATCCCCTGCTTCAGTCTCTGGGGTGGTGGAGAGCCAGGCTGTGGGTTTATCAAGGCTCCAAGGAAGCTCCGCTCTGGGACACAGCTGCCCTGTAGGATGAAGCCACTTTGACCCTGAGCTCCAGAGCAAGAGATGGTGCTGATTCAAGTGCGGGAAGCAGTGTAGCATGGGGAGGCCCCACAGCTTGGTGTGGGTGGCCTTCTGGGTAAGGTGTGCACCCGGTGCCTGCCTGCCACCTCCTCCATCCTTGTGTTCTGCAGACACGGGTGTGACCGTCAATGCCCTGCATCCCGGTGTGGCCAGGACAGAGCTGGGCAGACACACTGGCATGCACAACTCCACCTTCTCCAGCTTTACGCTTGGTGAGTCCCTCCCGGTGTGGATCCCTTCACAGAACCTTCTGCCCCTGCCTGCTTGCTTGGGGCCCGGGTCTCTCCCTCCACGTTTGCCTCTGGCTCTGCTCTTCCCGGCCCTCCTTTGTGTCTTCCTGTGTTGGAAGACGACTCTCTGTCCTGTTCATCTGGCCTGCCAGCCTGAGGGCAGCCCCCGGAAGCAGGCCAGAGCCCCATGGGCCAGTGAGGGAGCTGGCTCCTGGGGTCAGGCTGTACTTGGGCTGACTAGGTGAGCCCCCGAGGGAAATGTCTCCCCACTCTGTGCTTCAGTTTCCTCATCTGTACGGTGAGGGCCATGATGGGACCCCACTCCGTCATTGGGAGGATTAGATAAGACCTCCCAGGCCTGCACAGTGCCTGGCCAGAGTTGGGCTGAATACGGAAATAGCGCTTTATAGCTAATATTTATGATCCCGAGAAACATTTAGTGGGTGTATGCTGGGTATCAAGAATAATAAGCTGTGGCTGGGCGTGGTGGCGCACGCCTGTAATCCTAGCACTTGGGAGGCTGAGGCAGGAGGATCACTGCAAGTTCGAGACCAGCCTGGGCTACATAGTGAGTTCCAGCTCAGTCTCAACTACATAGTGAGACCCTGTTTCA